CTGTATGTGGGATCCGAACCCTTGGCGGGAGCGCCAGCCGCACTCCCAAGCGGTGCACTGTAGCAGTGCGCCACCGGGCCGGCCCTATGGGATCTAGATTTTGAGAGTTATTACCCTTTGGTGGTATACTTTCTTGATTTTTCATATTTCTGGTATCTTTCCTTTGTTTAGTCATTGTGGCAGGAGATTTCATGGTCCACTGGTTTGACACTATTGTCTGGCTAGGATGCTGCTGGGACTGCCAATTTGGTATGGCTGCCTCAGCATCTGCTCGGTTGCCCACTAGTGCCTCGGGTGCGTGGTTGCCTCAGATCTTGGGCCTCTCAGGGGAGGCGCCTCTTTGGTCAGCACACACTCGGCTGGGTTGGGGATGGAATCGGGCGGTGTTGGCAAGGCCTACCTGCTTGGTCGCATGCTGGCACCACAGGGTGTGTGGTCTCTGCAGATCCTGGGTTTCTCCTGCTGGGCGCCTCTCTGATCGGGGCGCACTCGGTAGGGCTGGGGATGGAGTCGGGTGGCGGCGGCAAGGCCTAGCTGCTGGGTCGCACACTGGCACCACAGGGCGTGTAGTCTCTGAGGATCTTGGGCCTCTCTGGCTGGGCACCTCTCTGATCAGCACGCACTTGGCGGGGCTGGGGATGGAGTTTGAAAGAATACCTTTTAACTCTTTCTATGAGACCATCATTATCTTTGTATGAAAGCCAATGACACTACAAGAAAAGAAACCTGCAGACCTGTATCCCTTATGAATGTAGAAGCAAAAATCCTTAACAACATATGAGCAAACAAATCCAACAGCATATTAAAATTTTTATACACTAATTGGAATTTATCCCAGTAATGCAAGGTTAGGTCAACATAAGAATAATGCTGAATATAATTTGTCCCATTCGATGAAGGGAAAAACTACATGGTCATCTCATTGATGCAGAAAAAGAATTTGACAAAATCCAACACCCTTTTATGATTAAAAGAAAAAAACATAAACAAAAAAAACTCAGCAAGCTAGGAATAGGAAGGAACTTCCTTAATATGATGAAGGACATTTGTGAAAACCCCATAGCTAACACCATGCTTAATGGTGAAAGACTAAAAACTTTTATTCTGAGATCAGGAAGAAGACACAGAAGCCCTCTTTCATCACTGCTTTTCACCATTGTTAATTGAAAGTTCTAGCTGGGGCAATTATATAAGAAAAATAAAAGGCATTCAAATAGGAAAAGGAGAAGCAAATTAGAGCAGAGGTATGAAGGAAGTGACAAAAACTTAAGTTGCCTGCTCTAGGAACTTCCCAGTGTTGTACTAACTTGTGAGTTAAGATTAAATAAGAAACTCATATCCTGATTTATATTTAACATCATTCTTCAATTTAAGTAAGCATAGAAATGTTTTCAGTTCTTCTTAAGGATTAATTTGTTAAGTGTTCCTAAATGTTTTACACATTCTTCTGTGAAACCTGTATTTCCACAGTTGTTTAGTCTTAATTCTAGAGTTAAATGGATTCAGTGATTGCCATCATTCTTTTGTGATGTATTTTCTTTTCTCCTCTTGGTTGGCTGAAATTCCTCTTTCTCTGAGAAGAGTTTTTGGAGATAAGTAGTTATTAGTTTCTTGCATATTCAAAAATGTTTCTGTTGCTCTTACACTTGCATAGGAGTTTAATATATGAACTTCTTGACACCTTCTTTCCCTGAGGATTTTGTAAGCATTGCTCCATTATCTTCTATAGCACTGTTAGGATGAAGAGTGAAGCCAGTCTGATTTTTTCTGTTTTGTAGATGAATTGAATTTTTGCCTGAATGGCCAAAAGACTCCTTCTTTATCCTTGATGTCCAGGAAGTCTATTAGGATATGTCATCATACTGATCATTCTGTGTCAGTTTGTTCTGAGATATGGTCAGACTCTGGATGGAAGTTTTATTGTTTCAGGGTGTATATTTAATTCGGTCAAGAAGTTTTGTGAAGATTTTTTAAAAAGATGTGTTCCTAAATTTGTTTAGTTTAAAAAATTTAAAAAAATAACTTAGGAATCTTTTATGTAATACTTTTTGAAAGATGATGGGATGGTTTAAAAAATTTTTAAAAATGTCTATTTCCTATTCAAAGAACTGTATTACTTATTATTTGTCGTTTTAAGAAATGAATTAATGGAAAAGTTATTCTTTTATATTGTGGGTAAAGTATGAAGTGAGAATTTTTGTACTAATTTCCTATAAGTTTGGCCAAATAACTTTAGAAGGTTATTTTCTTTTCCTTTTATTCTGTGAAGCTTTTTGTTTTGTTTTTAAGGTAGAGGCCAAACAGTGTATCAGCTGAGTCATGATGTTGACATTCGTCGTTTCCAGACACTAATGGAATGTTTTACCAGCACTTTCGAAGAAGTGAAAATTTTAGCATTTGATCTTTTGATGAAGTTATCAAAAACAGCTATACAATTTAAGGTATTTGGACTTTTCCTATTTAAATATAATTGTGATATATGCAAGAAAACTTTCTATTTTAGCAGCTGATAAAGCAGTCTGAGGGTTATATAGGCTCTTTGCATCTGCCTTTCATGTCTCTCCTTTGACTGTTTCTTTCAATTATTACAAGTACCTCTCTCCTGTTTTGGGTTGATGGGAAAAGAGGAAATGTTGTAAAAGAAAACAAAGCCCAAATCTGTGAGCTTTGCTTTTTTTATTGCTTTGGTAAAAAGGGAGGTATAGGAAGCATTAGGTTTTATTGTTTACAAGATTATTGTTGTAAAAGAAAACAAAGCCCAAATCTGTGAGCTTTGCTTTTATTATTGCTTTGGTAAAAAGGGAGGTATAGGAAGCATTAGGTTTTATTGTTTACAAGATTATTGGTAGATTTCAGTTAACTGTGGTCTGCCCAATTCCCTTGGACATGTAATATTTGATCAAAGCACATCACTTACAGTAACTTGAGTATTTTGAGATAATCTCCCTGCTTAGTAGACTGGGAGGCTGAGCGTAAATGAGGTAGAGTATGTGTTTCTGGTCTTCCAACAAGCAATAGCTAAACTGAGACTGAAACTCAGAATACTTCAGGTTAACAACAGTTCTTTCCCTAGGCGCTCTACCCCAGCCCCTGCTTTCTTCCTGACACCTTGCTCTTCCCACCTTAGGTTAGAAACCAAAGATGGGCTTGGGAGTGAAGGCACAGCATGGAAACGAGTTTGCAAGGGACCCCCTAGCTCAGGTTCTTAACCCTGCTCTTGAGGCTTCTTCTTGTGCTTTTAGGTCACCAGCAGAGTATTGGCTCTAGTGCTTTGCTAACAGCTTTCTCTTAGAGCTCTATAGAGGCCAATGGCACATGCTGCAGCTGAGCCATGGTCGGGGCTCCAGCCATTAGGTTGTATGTAGGGCAGGATAGCTTGTAAATGCAATGGGATTCTGTAGGAGCATGTGCCAGAGAGCACAGTGTCTGTTTCTGTAGCTTCCAGATGACATTGTAAGATCTCAGAGCATGTTTTCTGACTTAGGTTTTAGTTTGGGAGTTGCTTTCCAGTATCTACCTATGCCTGTGGTCTTTTAGGTGCCCTAGTGAGCAGAAGGTTCTTTGGTGCTCAGGCTGCTAACTTTTGTACCATATAGAGTTTGTAAATAAAAGACTTTGTCTTTCTCTGTCTATCCCCCCACCCCCCTTACTATTCATCACGTATAGCCTTGTAACATATATATAGCTGTACCTCATTCCTGGCAAATATTTTGAGAGTACCTGGAATGAAGGTATGATATGGCACATATAGGAAAGACATGGGCCTTACATAAACTACGAAGGGCTCTTAGGGGGTTTCTGCATCTCTAATTTGATAAACATGTGCTTGGTAAATAGACATTAACCATAGAATTCAAGAAATTTAGTACCACATATGGCTTGGTATAGGATTTTGGTTGTACTATCTGGTCTGGCTTGCATATTAGTAAAATGGTCATAGGAATAAGCATTTAAGATTTTAAATAATAATTATATATTTTCAAAGCTTTTCTTTAAGTGTACCCTGTGTAATATATAGTTAATTTTTTAATATAGTTAAATTTAAAGCACTTTTCAAATGCTAACTTAATCTCTCTAAAGACCTTTATAAACATATTTTAGATGGCATATCTTTCTAATATATGACTTTACTACTTGCCTAGTTTACTGTCCTTCTTTTTGTGGAGCTACATTCTAGGTCTTTATATTTTGATTGATCTAAGATAATCACACAAAGATATTTTAGGCTTTAAAGGCTAATTATTATTTCTTACTAATTGGTTAGTAAAGCGGTTCAGGGACTTACTGTCAGTTAAAAAAATGGCTTAGGGCTGGCCCGGTGGTGCACTGGAGAGTGCACCGCTTGGGAGTGTGGCAGTGCTCCCGCCGAGGGTTCGGATCCCATGTGGAGACCGGTTCCCGCTCACTGGCTGAGCGTGGTGCGGGCGCAACACCGAGGGTTGCGATCCCGTTGCCGGTCCCTGGTACGGGCGCGACACCGAGGGTTGTGATCCCGTTGCCAGTCAGTAAAAAAGACAAAAAAGGAAAAAAAAAATGGCTTATTGGGCTGGCCTGTGGCTCACTTGGGAGAGCGTGGTGCTGACAACACCAAGTCAAAGAGTTAAGATCCCCTTACTGGTCATCTTTAAAAAAAAACAATAAAAAGGGCTTATGTACTTAACTGGTTCTTTCTAATATTTAGTTTGAGCCTCGGACCACTATTTTAAAGTTTTTTAGGAAACAGAAAATCACACATGTCAAATGGCAAAGAATTTAAATAGGAATAAATTTAAATTTAATTAAATTTAAAAGGATTTTTGAATCAGTACATTTGATATCTACTATTCTGATATTATAAGATATCATTAAATATTTGTTACCCATAATCAATTTCAAAATTGTTTGTGATGATTTTTTTCCTTATATTATATTATAATCCTAGTTGAATCAGAACATTATTGAGCAATCAAACTCTGACTTCCAGAATGGAAAACATGGAGCTTGTCAACTATGGAGTTGGGCTAGAACTCATATCTCCTGTTGTCAGCCTAGAGCCTTTTCTTGACTGTTACAGTGAACTGTCCTTTGTTTTGTCTTCTTTAGGACAGCCTGTTGAGTGGATGTTTATAATCTAATCTTTAATTTAGAAGTTTTAGGGAATAAGGACAGATATGGTCTTTTGTAGGAAACAAAGGAGGTTAGATGTAGAGAAATTGAAAATTATTCTTCCCAAGGTGGTGGAAAAAGCCATGAAAAAGAGAACCAGTAATGGGAGAAAAGTAGGAGGCCACAAATAGTTATGGTGGAAATGCAGCCATTGATCTGGGGATAGAGAGGATAGCACCGTGGAGAGTGATCCTTGCCCACTAGAATTGCTTCAGTGCTGGATTCAAAAGGAGACCCCGATAAGGCGGTGGGAGAGGACTGCAATTGCGGTGAACTGGGGAATGCATGCTGTACATAAAGGCTTTCAACTCAAGACATTTTAGTACTTTATGAAATATTTCAAACATGTAAAGAATATTTAAATATATAAGGTTTAAATAGCAATAATATAAAACTTTACATTTTGTTTACAAGCTAAGTGATAACACTCAGCTTAAGTATAACAGCATCTATATCTTTGAAGCCTCTCCTTTATCCTACTGTGTATTTTTTTTTTTTTTTCCTTTTTGTCTTTTTTCGTGACCGGTAACAGGATCGCAACCCTTGGTGTCGTGCCCGTACCGCGACCGGCAACGGGATCGCAACCCTCGGTGTCGCGCCCACACCGCGCTAAACCAGTGAGCGGACCGGTCTCTATATGGGATCTGAACCCTCGGCAGGAGCGCCGCCGCACTCCCAAGCGCCGCACTCTACTGAGTGCGCCACCGGGCCGGCCCCCCTACTGTGTATTTTTATTAATTTTTTATAGTCTTTCTTTATAGTTTTATCACCTGTGTATATATAATTAAATGATATGTTATTTAGTTTTACATGATTTGGTTTTGTTTTGGTGGTTGGCTAGTGTCCGGGGATCCAAACCTGTGACCCTGGTGTTATAACACCTCACTTCAGTCAACTGAGCTAACCAGCCAGCCCTTGATTTTTGAATTTTATCTCACAAGTACCATATGCATCATACAAATTTACCACAATTTATTAATCCATTCTCTTGTTGATAGACTTTTTTTTCCTAAGTAAATAACGCCAATGTGAACATTCTCGTATAGATCTTATCTCTCTCTCTCTCTCTTCTAATTCATGTTTCTAAGAGTTTAATGGTAAGCAAAAAAGTGAAATAACCTGGTCGTGAAGTATGTGAATCTTCAACTTTATGAGATGATGTCAAATAAGTTTTCAAGTTACACACTCACCAAAAAATGATGAGTTGTGATGCATCAAATCATCACCATAATTATCTACTGTCATATTTTAAAAATTTGTAGAATATAAAATGGTATCTCATTGTGGTTTCATCTTGCATTTTTCTGATTATTAATGTAATTATCTTTTCACATGCTTACAAGTCTTTCACTTTTCCCCTTCTGTGAAATGTCATCTTCTGGGCTGGAAATAACTGGATATCCATATATAAAAGTATGAAATTGGGTCCACTACATCATACCATATACAAAATTAGCTCAAAATGGACCAGAGACCTAAGTGTAAGAGCTAAAACTATAAAACTCTTAGAAGAAAACATGACTGTCAGTCTCTGTGATCTGTGATCTTGGTTTAAGCAATAGTTTCTTGGATATGACTCCCAAAGCATAAGCAAAAAACCAAAAAAAAAAAGATAAATTGGACTTCATTAAAATTTAAAGCTTGTGTTTTAAAGGATCCTATCACAAAAGTGAAAAGACAAGCTGAAAAATGAGATACTGTATTTGTAAATCCTATACCTGATTAGAAATTTGTATCTAGAATATATGAAGAACTTTCACAACTCATTAATAAGAGGACATGACCAAATTAAAAAACGGACAAGGAATCTGAATAGACATTTCTCCAAAGAAGATTTGAACAATGAGCACATGAAAAGATGCTCAACATCATTGGCCTTTAAAGGGATGCAAGTCAGGGCCGGCCCGTGGCTCACTTGGGAGAGTATGGTGCTGATAACACCAACGCCACAGGTTCGGATCCCTATATAGGGATGGCCGGTTAGCTCACTTGGGAGAGTATGGTGCTGATAACACCAACGCCACAGGTTCGGATCCCTATATAGGGATGGCCGGTTAGCTCACTTGGGAGAGCATGGTTCTGACAACACCAAGTCAAGGGTTAAGATCCCCTTACCAGTCATCTTTAAAAAAAAAAATAAAGGAATGCAAGTCAAAATCACCGTGAGGAAGCACTTTATACCCAGTAGGATGGCTATGATAAAAAATAAAAAAGGTAATAACAAGTATTGATGAAGATGTGGAGGAAGTGGAACCCTCATACACTGCTGGTGGGATTGTAAAACAGTACATTTGCTTTGGAAAGCAGTCTGGCAGTTCCTCAGAAAGATAAATAGAGTTATATGGCTCCACAGTTCCACTTTTAGGCATTATCTTAGCTTGGACTGCTATAAGAGAATGCCATGGATTCGGTGGCTTAAACACAGACATTTATTTCTCACAGTTCTGAAGCCTGGGAATCAAGGTGCTGGCAGATTCAGTTCCTGGTAAGGGCCTTTTTTCTGGCTCTCAGATGGCACCTTCTTGCTTTGTGCTCATGTGGCAGAGAGAGCAATTTGATCTCCTTTCTTTTTATAAGGACACTAATGACATCACCTGGGTCTTACCCTCATGACCTCATCTAAATCTGATCACCTCCCAAAGGCTCCATCTTCAAATGCCATCACATTGGGGGTTTGGGCTTTAATATTATCAATACTAGGGGAGATGCAAACATTCAGATCATAACAAGCATATATCCAAGAAATGTGAAAGCATATGTCCAAACAAAAACTTGCACAAGAATGTTTAAAGCAGCATTACTTGTAATGGCCAAAAGTGGAAACAGTCCACATGTCTATTAACTGATGAATGGGTAAGTAAAATGTGTTACATTCATATAGTGGACCATAATTCAGCTATAAGAAGGAATAAAGTGATACATGATGCAGCATGGATAAACTTTGAACACATTGTACCAAGTAAAAGAAGTCAGTCACAAAAGACCATATATTTATGATTCCATTCGTATGACATGTCCAGAATGGGCAAATATATAGAGACAGAAAATAAACTAGTAGTTGCCTACTAATGGTACAGGTGCAGGGAGAAGAGAGACTGCTTATAGATAAGGTATTTTTTCAGTGGGAGGCAGTGAAAATGTTCTAAACTTGACTGTGGTGCTGGTTGCACATACCTGTGACTATAACCATTGACGTGTGTACTTTAAAACTATGAATTGCATGGTATGCGAATTATATCTCAGTAAAACTGTTATTTTAAAAAGCCACCTGCTGTTCAAATAGCACATGCTACATGGGCTTGAGGTTTGGTACCCTAGCAAGATGTCTAGGAAGAATGCTTCAGAGGTGAGTGCTGTGATGGATCCAGGCAGTTAGTCAAAGAAACTCAGTTCTACCTTGACTAGAAATGGGTAACAGGCTGGATAACCTTGAAAGATCTCTTTTTGATTCAAAACCTGTAGTATAAAGTTCACTTGAGTTGGGTGTTTTCTTGGGAATTATTCCGCTGTTCACAAATGTATAAATGTGTTTTAAAACTGGTATGACTTCAGTTGTCTTTTTGCTTTTTCTAGTTATCAAATGCCTGATAGAAAATCTTGAGGAAGAAGTAACTCAGGCTGAAAATTCTCTGCTGCAGGCAGCAGCATTATTTCCAATGTATGGGCGAGTTCACTGTATAACAGGAGCTTTGCAGAAGTTATCTCTAAAGTAAGTATATCCACAGCTGTCTCTTGTCTCAGAAATAACACTAATTGCTGAGCTTTAGCCTCTTATTGGAATGTGTCCTGGGAAAGGAATGTAGTCTATTGCCTTGAAGAGAATTGAAAATTATATTTAAAAACCTACATATATGTACATATTTTTATATGTCTCAAATATTTTATATATTGCACAGTTTAAAACACAAATTCTTTCAACTCCTTTTATCTGTTAATTCCATTTTTAAAATGTGATCTTTGTTTGCTTTTAGTATAAATTTTCCTAACGTCCTTGTTGCAGCAGCCTGCAGTTGGTGAGTGAGTGGAGACCAGTGGTGGAGAAGCTCCTTTTGCTGTCCTACAGGCTTTCTGCCGTGGTGTCTCCAGTCATTCAGAGTTCCTCCCCTGAAGGCCTCATCCCAATGGACACTGATTCAGGTCAGCAAACAAGGAATGCTAGAGTGCTGTGGTATGACTGTTATATTTTTCTCTCCTTTTTTCCCCCCTAATTTCTTTGGGTAGATACAAAAGCTAAATTGAGGGAAAAAGAAGAAATTATTGTTTGTGGTATTTCTGCTTGTTTAGTAATATTTTTAACTGTCAAAAAAATAGCCTCAGAAAACCCCCAAAACAGGTGATTGTCAAGCTACCTCCTCTCCCAGGGTAAATTGCGTTTTATGATATTATTATTTCAGAATACAGCTTACCAGGTAGTTGCTGGGAGCAGAGGAGCAGGCAATATAAATTAGCAAGATAGTCAATTGATGGAGTTCAGTCAGAGAAGGCAACTTGTTAGGAGTATGGAATGGGCAAGGAACATTTGATATACAAGGACCATTTATTTAAAAAAAAAGAGATTCAACATGCCCAAATTGAACCCATGAACTCTCATCTGCCTTTTCCCTCCCATCCCCTGCCTCTTTCTGAATGGTCCTACAAAAGATCTGTTTATGCCAGTCAGGAGCCTAGGGCTGCTTGACATCTCTCCCTTGCTCCTCATATCCAGCCCATCTCCACATTCCTTCAGTGTCACTGCTTAAATATCCCTTAGATCTCTTTTCTTTTTATCTGCATCTTCTCACCTTCTCCAGGCACATATCCTTTCTTATTTGGATTGCTCCAGGGCCTCCTCATATATTTCCCTGCATCTGCTCTTTTTTCCTTCCCATTCCTTCTTGCTACATCCAAAGTAATATTTTCTAATCATATGATTTATCAGGTTACACAGAATCTTTACTTAACCTTTGTGCCCTGCCACACTCTAACCTCTCCTTCTTTGAAACACTTCAGTGACCTTAGACCGGGTCCTGTAAATGCTTATCTTTTGCTACCTCTCCAGCCTGTTTTTTACTACTATACTCTTCCCATGGAACTTTCTTTCATAGAATTGTAATGTAACAGGGATCCTGTCTATGTTTTCCTCCCTTGAGGTTAGCACAGTGCCTGATAGAAGTAGATACACAATAAATATTTGTTGATGATGAATAAATCAATGGGCCAGCAATGCTTTAAAGGATAGGAACTAAGCTCAGTGCCTGGGATTCCCTAGGTGGCATGTGCCTATACTATAACAGGCCAGAAGGGATTTGTTGTTAAAGGTATATACTAACATGGAGTGCTCCTTTGGAAATCATTAAGTAAATTTACATTTGGTGTATAAATTAAGTTTGTAAATGCATGTTGGAGTGTAAGTGAAAAGCTTGTATGAAAAACAAACTGATACATCATAAACACACACTGTAACATACACTGAAATACCTTGGGCGGATAATTGAAGTAACCTGGAGATGCGTGTTTTGCAAAGAAAATGTTAGGGTTTGTTCTTTACTAAAAATGAATTGTAAGATCAGTGATGGTTCATGCTGCTGAGACACAGATTGATTTACTTATTTTGGTTGATGTTAGTCTAAATGCCAAAAAATTTTTTTTTGCAGATGTCAAGATCAATGTATTTTAATTTTAGTGTAGTAAATTACATGCAGTTATTTAACATAAACAAATGTGACATAAACAAACTATGGAATGGAAATCGGGAAACTTGATTTCTAGTCTTGACTATCACAAAAAGTATGACCTTACACAAGTCAGTTTGCTTGTTAGAGTAAATCTCTCAGATTGCTTCTGGCTATGATTTTACATATGTTACACTGCATTTTTCCTAATACTGACATCTAGTGGGTACACTTAGACTTTGTATTTTAAAATTAAAAATCTTATTTCAGCTATTTTAAATTAAAGACTCACTAGAATATTGGGCTACAATATTTAGGAGACCAGTACCGCTTTTTACATGGAAGTGAATCACAATAAAACAGTATCACATCAAATTGTCATTGCATCTTTGAGTTTGATTCAAAGACTACAGGTACTCTGCCATGCCTCCAGCTATTAAAAGTTAAATCAGCAATGCAAATTATTAGAGCTACAAATTTAGAACATAAAAGCAAAGAAAGTAGCTTCCTGCTGCTGTGGCTTGCATCAGGTACAAAGGGTAAATACCAAATTTTGATACTTTAGTTTTCCTATTTAAATAGTGCATGAGAATAAGGAACATGCAATCTTATAGCTAATATTTGGATCATGCAAGTACAGTGTATTCTGGATGAGAAATCTTGACTATTTCTGTCACCTATTGTGGGTAGAACCTGCAGAGCCAGCAACACTTTGTTCACTGCTGAGTTGCCAGTGCCTAGAACAGAAACAGGTCATGGCAGAAATTCAGCAACATGGGTTGTAGAAATGAGTGAATGGCTAGGTAAAAAGCTCTTCATTTTGTTTGTTATTAAAGTGTTTTGTTTGTTATTAAAGTGTTTTAAGATATCAGTTGGTCTCAAGAAGTGTCTTTGGCCCACAGACACGTCCTTAATTTTGCCTTGTCTTTTTTCCTCAGATTGTCTCCATATTTCCTCTTTCTTACCCATGTTATCTGCCATGCATTGTGAATTCTTTGAAAAAAGCCTCCCCTGAAAGCCATACTATGAATGGATAAGATTCTTAAAATTTTATTCTGATTTTTTCTCTTTTCTCCTTGATCTTTGCATGTCTTTTTTTTGGGGGGGGAGGGTGGCCAGTGTTACTTCTTCATGGCTGTTGAAATTTGTTTGCTTTTGGCAAAATTCTAGGGAAGAAACATATAAACATAAGATGTTGGTTGAATCATTATGATAGCAATTAAAGTCTCTGTATTTCCATGATATCTAAAATATAAGTATTGATAATATTTGTGAAATAAATACTTGTTCTTTGATTTGTTGATTTCAGATGATTACCAGTTTCTGTTTTTGTTTTGTTTTCTTTTGTTTTGTATAAAGCTAGGCGACCATGCCAGTTGTTGGGCTCTTCTACCTGCTGGTAATCCTGCACCAACTGGGCCGATTGTCAAGCTAGGGTTGGGTCTGGCTTTCACAGACCCCTCAAGCCCATTCACAGACTGGGTCACAGACCCCACACACAGGTCTATAAGCTAGGTAACCGGCCAAAAGGTCCTTGGAAGCTGCAGGTTGGAAAGTATGACCGTGTGTGCATGCACTCACACGCTCACTCTCGCTCTCGCTCTCTCGCTCTCTGTCTCTCTCTGTCTCTCTCTCTCTCATTAGCTCCACACATACACACAATTTGCTTACAAAGGATGCTGAACCACACCCAACTGGACCCGAGGTGAGGGCCCTGACCAAACTATTCTATTTTCCCAACATTTTTGCTTTTTGTTTTTTTAAATCTGAGCCTGGCTAACTCATTACCTAGCCATTCTTTCATTTCTTCAACTCATGTTATTGAACCTCCGCCATGAACCCATGTTACTGAACCTCTGCCTCTGTTCTAGGCATTGGGAGCTCAGCAGTGAGCAAAATGTTGCATTCATGGGGTTTGCATGTTCTAATCCAGTGAGTGCATAGGGAATAAAAATGAAGTTTAGTGTAATTCTAGGACTGTAAATCATAGTTAAAATAACTTATTTTGTAGATAGGGAAACAACCTCTTAAGACAAAATTTATTGAAGTTTATTGCAGTTATTTGGCATGATTGAGTACTGTATTTGAGATTCTTAGATAACACTAAGAAAAGCAGCGTAAATAAGATGGCAGACTTTGTCTTGTAGACAGTTTCATTTGTGTTTTCTGTTGTATCTTCAGCCTAAGTTGCAGTATTTTAAAAGCACACTGAAACATCATGAAGATTCTATATAAATAATTTTTACGTTGTCCACCCTGTGAATCCTTTCTAATATAGCTGATTACCAGGATTGAAAATTAACAGGATTTTTGAGGGCAAGTACCCCCAAGGGAAGTCTGCGTGTGATGTGGAACTGGGGTTCCATGTAGTCTCGTTTCTCTCCCTCAGAGTCAGCAAGCCGCTTACAGATGATTCTAAATGAGATTCAGCCACGAGATACTAATGATTACTTCAACCAAACCAAAATCTTGAAAGAATGTGATAACTTTGATTTGGAGGACTTGAATGCCAGTGTGTCCAGTATTGATATTTCTGCAGAAGTCAAAGGTAGCATATAAATAAAATTGATATTATAATTAGTATTTAAGTAACAAGTAAAATGTACAGAGTGCCCTTTTTATATAGTAAATCAGAGGCTGCATATCTGTGCAAAAGATTTGTAGAAAATAAAGTTTTTTTAAAATTTGATTTTGGGCACAGCTCCTGACCTTAAACTTAAAGGAATTGCCAGGCTAATGGGAAAGACTTATGTGAAAAATAAAATGTAGTGAGTCAAAAGGAAGAGGAGGTCAAAGTTTAGTGTGCACAGAAAATGGGTTGAACAAGCCTCAAGGTGCAAGCCAGAACTCTAGTGTTAAGGGATAAGCTTCTGCCACTTGTTTTGTGCTGAACCTACATCTCTTGGAGACAGGTCTGACCCTGTCATTACGCAATGCTCCTAACCTCTGTGAGGTGGACCTTCTTACTTTGCCTCCATAGTGTGAGCACCCTAGATTTTGTCTGTCTGTATATACTCATTCCTCACTCTCCTGTTGTCTGAACGGGGCTCCTTGCCTAGCTCCAGGATGGAGCACATCTCGTTTTTCTGGGGCCAGGGGTTGCTTCAGGAATGATCAAGTGACCTAAGCTAGACTAATCAGAGAGAAGCTTAGGATTTTGATAGAAAAGAGGCATACTTCACTGTCCTTGAATGTGCGAGGAAAAGAATGGAGCTTCTGAGACCATTTTGTCACCATGTGGGTTGAGTGTGCAGATGCCAGAGGCCACCTTGAGGAGCTGGAGAATGAAGCTTACTGCACAGCAGGCAGAGACAAAGATAAACTATGTGTCAAATAAATAAATAAAAATAAAATTTGGTTTTGGGAATGATTTGGTTTTAGGTATGAATTTTTATCAAAAATGATGTGCCCCAGTGCAGCATATAAGGTGCTACAACAAAAAGCGTTTGAGTGCTATAGCTATGGTCTTGACAGCCCAAGTGATGTAAGAGCAGTGACGCATGATGAACCAGCCCCCAGCAGTGTGGTTCATTGTTGTCTGCTGTGGGAGTTCTTAAACTAAAGCAGCCTCTTAAAGGAAACGAAGCTTATTACTTAGTAAAATGTGAGCTTCTTTGTTGTATCAAGCATCCCGAATTTGAGTTCTTATAGCTAGTTTTATCATTAGTTGTTACTGAATTTTCTCTAATGCTGTAAAAAGTCATCAGAAGCAATAATTTCTTAGTGATTTATTACATATTCTACATTCTCCACTAGATGGGGATATTGTCTCGCAAAAAATTCTCTCTGTGATTATATTTTTAAAGTGACACATAAAATATATAAATACATGCTTATTGTAATAGTTTCAAACAAAAAAGAGGTAAGTATGAATTAAAAGTGAATTAAAGTCCTCCATTTTCTCCCCGATTCCTCTTCTTCCCCCGTTAGTATATATCCTTTTATACCCACTTGTCCTTTTAGTTTAGTGGGCTTTTTTTTTTTTTTTTTTTTTTTTTTTTTTTTTTTTTCCGTGTCCGGCAACGGATCGCAACCCTCAGTGTTGCCCCCGTACCGGACCGGGGACCGGCAACGGGATCGCAACCCTCGGAGCTGTTCCCGTGCCTCGCTCAGCCAGTGAGCGGGAACCGGTCTGTATGTGGGATCCGAACCCTTGGGCGGGAGCGCCCGCCGCGCTTCCCAAGTTGCGCCCCTATACCTGGCCCCCCCGCCCCGCCCCGCCCTCTTCAACTC